TATGTTTATATTTTGTAAAATATTTATAGACTATTTAATTTTAATTTTTTAAATATATTTTAAATTGATTACATAAATAAATAATACTGAAGTCCATTAAATACTTTTCAATACATAAAATAAAAAGAATAAGATACAATACAACTTCTATAGATTTTATAAATAATAATGACATTATATGAAAACAAAATTTATAGTAAAATAATAATTAAGTATTATATGGTGAACATGACTAAGTAAAACTGTTATTTTCTCTTGTATCAAGGAATAAATATATATATGTACTAAAATCAAATTTATATTAGTATAAATGTGTTAGTGAGATAATATATTAATTATTTTACAAGTTAGCCCTACATGCTCATATTTAATATTTTGACTAAAAAATCAACACTGATTAAAAGAGGTGAAAAATATATTATAACCCTATTGTTTTTAGACTTAACGTTGATTAAAAGAAGTGGGAAAATAGATGATAAGCTTTTTAAACTTAAACGACAGAGCTTGTGAATATAACTCATTTAATATCTTTGTCCCGTGCATCGCACGGAGTACGTACTAGTGGTAAGTTAAAGGGATACCTATTATATAGTAGGTACTTGATCCCTAAAATATCCTAAAAAAAAGTAGGTGAAGGAAAATGAATAAAAAGAGAAGAAGAAGGACAGAATGGAGAGGAGGGGCGTTGGTGGAGATGAGGATGAGAGAGAATGAGGGTAAAATAGTTGGTACATAGAATTATTAGGATTGGCAAAGGCCGTTACAAGTCTAATACTCCCTCTGTTTCTTTTTAAATGTCGTTTTAATCTAAAATGCAATCAATGCTATCAAATATCATATTTTTGTTTACTAGTAAAGTGCACGTGCGGTGCACGTGGCGACGAATGCTTTTTACCGATTAAATTTAGTAAGATAAATTAATTAATTTATTACACATATGACTGCAGGAACAAAATAAAATGTAGAATAAATTGACTTTTCATGCATTTTATTTTAAATATAAAAATGTTGTCGTAATATAAAAAGATTTAAATATCATATTACAACTCCAACAAAAATATATGAAAAATGAGTTCCTAATGAAAAAACAATAAATGACTAAATAAAGACATAATGTATATTGTAGATGCATGAGTTCTTTTATTTATTTATGTTAGATTCAAGAGTCATTTTCTTTTATTTTGGTTTTGATGTTCTCATAAGAAACATTCATACTCGTTGAATTCTAATACATCAATAGTATTACAAAATTCTTCTTAATTAATTTTGCAAAACGTCTGTTTTATTCAACACTTAGAAATACTTTAGCCAAATATATAGTCAAACTTTATGAT